GCAGACGGGCTAACCTTAGCCCTGGTCGCCGCAGACGGGCTAACCTTAGCCCTGGTCGCCGCAGACGGGCTAACCTTAGCCCTGGTCGCCGCACACGGCTAACCTTAGCCCCGGCCGCCGCAGACGGTCTAACGTTAGCCCCCGGCCGCTGCAGACGGGCTGACGTTAGCCTCCGGACGCTGCAGACGGGCTGACGTTAGCCCCCTGGTCGCTGCAGACGGGCTGACGTTAGCCCCCGGCCGCTGCAGACGGGCTGACGTTAGCCTCCGGACGCTGCAGACGGGCTAACGTTAGCCCCCGGCCGCTGCAGACGGTCTAACAAAGCCTACAGCCTCAGCTGTTCCTCCCATCCACGGCTTCCATCGGAGCTGAGCAAAAAAAAAAAGCTCAGCTCCGTATTTTGACAGTGACGTGCGGAGGAGTAGTGATGATGTGGAACAGCTCTCATTGGTTAACATGACAGACAAGTATTCCGCACGACATATATGAGCGGGGCAGAGCGCTGACGGAGGATGTGGAATCTGGGGGTTAATCAGGGTCATTGGGTGGGATGGCGCTGTAGCGCCCTCTATTGGCCAGCTGCCACTGATAGCAACAAAGTAGCTGCAAAAATATGGTTGTAATTTAGTTTCCCAGTTGAAATATGTTATTCTGTTGGAATAATGGATCCTTTGCTCCTCTGTAGAAACCAAAATACCCAAAGTGTTTGGTCTTTTTCCTTCCTGTCTGTCAGCCATCTTGGTTTCACTTTTTTTTTTCCATTGCAGTGATCAATAAATTGAATTCATCTGTATGGGATGATGCAATAGCTTCCACTAGATTGGACTATATGCATCAGTGCCCAGAACTGCAGGAATATATATATAGTTTTAAACAGCTGTACACTGCAGTGATCACTGAACCCTATGAAATGGTTATAAGATCATTCTGTTGAAGCATGATGGAAAAGAATCATCCAACTCTCTCCTGTTCATTTTCACAGTATGTTTTAAATGAATACTTCTGTGACCTTTGTGGGTTTTTCTTTTATTAGACCAACAGTTTGTTCCATGTGTTTATTTCCTGTTTAATTGTGGATTCTAATCTTTAGACTTTCCTTTATTCCAGACAGGAGCCCCAGCTGGACCCTTCCCCTCTGGAGGTTCATCCACCAACCCTTTCCTGTAGCACAGCCCTAGCCACCAGGGGGCAGCATGCAGCAAATACTCAAACGCACCTGTTCCGTCACGTGATTAGTGGCATTACATTTCTTTTTTTTAAAATGGCTTCTATTTTCTCCATGAAAGAAGTTTACAACACTATGAAGGAGTATAAAGGAATATATTGAGGACTAAGGGACAGGATGGGGGGGGGGGGGCATACTGTCTAAACTATATTCTGATATTATCTGCTTTTTATTTCACTTTTTTTGTTATAACTGTAAGCTTTGTTCATATCACTATTTGTAATCGCAAACAAGTACATATAATGTATAAGGACTGAACTAACAAGGAGGCGTTTTCACAAACCTCGTGTTTTAAAATGTTAAAAAACAAAGAAAAGGGAAAAAAAATGTCCTTAGACCAATAGATAGCTAAGAGTTTACATTTTAACAGGGTCCCATCCAGATCTATGGTTAATAGATGAGGCAGCCTTTTTTCAGAAGGGATTTCTTTCTTTCATTTAAGATCTTTAGATCGGCACAAAGTTTGACATTTCCGTTACTGTGGTTCCTGAAACACGGCGGCGTTTTCTTTAGAAATAAAATATAACATGCAAAGCGGGTTGGTCTGCGACTGGAGGCCGATGTTCATAAAAACAACCATCAGTTAAGGCTGGGTTATACGGAAGAGGATTAGGGACATTAAAAAAAATAAAGTTAACTGATTTTTAAATATTTCTGTTTAATATGGTGGAAAAAAAAGTCAGAATTCTGACTTTTTTCTCAGCTTCACTGATAAAGATGTGAGTAGTTTGGGAGAAACAGGAACACATTGGTGGAAAATGAGTTAGTTTAATCTCTAGGCTACGGC